GCAGTTTTTGTATTTTTTCTCAGAAATGAGATTTTTCCCACGGTAAAAAGCATCCTATATGTTGACCCGGATAACCAGCTATCACCATACCGAATTTCATCAAAATCCATCCAGTGGTTTTTCTGTGATGCGGTAACAGACAGACAGACAGACAGCCGGACAGATAGACAGACAAAAATGCTAAAAACTATAGATTCGGCCTCTGTATCAATAATAATGTCTATTTCAATAAGATTTTCCAAAAAATATTTAATGTACAGATTCGGCTTAGTTACAATTTTATTATATGTATAGATGACTCTACGTTCTTTTGAATCCTAATAAAACTATGAATAATTTATTAAACAGAAATAAAGTTGCCAGCGACTTTTAAATTAAAAGTAAGCCGCAACTTGACAGTGTGGAAGAGCTTTAAGCTTTGTTTTATATAACTCTTTGTTATTTTCCGTGCTCGATCAGATAGAGCGGCATTATGTGGGATAGTATCGCCTTTTTCACGCTTCGTGTTTTTTGACGGTTTTGACAAGTTAGGGTAAGGGAGAAAATGATATAGGTGTTTTTAGATATAATTTAGTATAACTTGGAATATCACTTTCATGTTTAGATGGATATTATATTTAGCACTTATGAATGATCACTCACTCCGGCTGTGTTAGTGGTATTATTTTCCAGACACCTGTAATGCATGAAAATAGCAAAGATAACATTTGGTGACATTTAGAATACGTACATTCGGATTGTGTACTTCATTTTTAAAAATCAGCAGAAAATTCAAGTTTTAAAACAGATAAGATAAAAAAAAATATTGTATCATAACTGACGACACGTTTGGATCAGTGACCTTACTTGCTGTTCCAGCGGTCGCGGGTTCGAGTCTCAGTGGGGAAATTCACTTGTGTGATGAGCATGAATGTGTGTAAAGATGGTGCTGAGTATTCAAGTCCCTACATATTTATTTATTTAAAGATAAAATTTATACAACAACAATAAATATATAAAGTTGATAATGAAATAGTGAACATTTATCTTATTTGCTATATCACTTGCTTAAATTATTGCACGGTCATAGGTTTAGTACTTAATGTAAAAATAAAAACTTGAAAAAAAATACGACCTCCAGGCACTAAAATGTAAAAAATAACTAAACGGGGATTTTCATTTAGAAAAGATACCTAATCAGATATTTTCGAAGTCGGTGCCAACCGATGCAAAGCAAGTCTAGTATATTTCGATATGTAAAACACATATTTACTTATTAGATATTCATACCTTAAAATATTGTCAAATATTTTCGAAGTCGGTGTGTTTTGGCTAAGTAATTAAAGCCTACCTATTAAATACATACCTAATCAAATATTTTCGAAATCGGTGCCAGCCCATACAAAGCAAAGCACACCGACTTCGAAAATATTTGATTAGGTATGTATAGTAAATGAAAACTACCAATCAGTTATTTTTTACTTTTTAGTGCTTTTGTTTGAAGTGGGTTTTTCTTTTTTTGTTAAAAAGTTTTCATTATAGATTATTCGATAGGTTTATTCCATAGGTTTATACAGACAAATACATTTTACTATATTGTTACCCTCATTATATCGTAAATCCTCTTAGTCCATTTAGTCCATAACAGCCAATTACACGAAGACTGTGCTGGAGACAATATAGTGCACAAATATAAAAAAAAAATCTTTCTTTGATTCTCAAAATTCAGTGAAACAATTATTCGACTGTGAGTGTCGTGTGGTCAGAAGTCAGGCTTGGACACGAGGGCGACCCTCAGGACAGGACACCTTCAGGACCTCCAGATATGTAAAAAAACTAGCATTTTCCTAAAGACAGAAAAGCCAATGCAGCAAAAATAAACTTAGCTGGAATTAAATTTTAATATAAAAGCTTTCTTATTTGATTGAGTCACTATAATGTAGGACCCTCCTCCAGTCGTACCGCGTAAGCAATTTGGGAGATATAAGTGTCACGTTATAAGACTTAGGCTGGTCGTTAACGTCCCTGTCAATCACGTTTTTACGCACAGTTTTCGTGAAGAGATAGAGTATCAAAAGCTCTAGGTTGCACGTGCTTAATTTATAACAAGGGTTGCTGGTTCTATGTTTGTTTGAGGCACATTTGTATTTATTAGTAGTACTTAATGTTATATTTTGCATTAGCAAGCATTATATGATATGGAGTGATTGTCAAACTAGTACTATATAGCAGAATTTCATATAGTGCATTTTTGAATTTACCCGAGCTTCTTTAATTTTGTAACATCATGTTATCACCAAATAACATATACAGAAAATAACATATAATCAGATATCAACACATTTATATATCTATCGATACACATTTGGACTATTAATAATGATTTATAAAAAAAGAAATAAAGTTATTTATTATTATTTATAAAAGAAGTATTTATATAAAAAAGTGTAAACGAGATATAAGATATAGAGTTGATCTCTATGACCTATTTTCCAATAGAATTACTTTCCAAGTCGAACATTTAAAACAAAGTCTAATTGAAAAAAGTTGATTTTGAATCGATTTCATCGTCAAATTATTGTTGTACTAACGACTTACCTTTACTTCGCTCGAGTGCTTAAGTACGTTTTAAATAGACAAATATTTATTGTGAGTGTATCTTAGGAGAAGGACTTATGCTATTGCAGATTTTTCTGTAGGTCTTTTAAAACCTATAATTTTCTAGTACGTTGCTCTCGTGTTTTCCCGTGGGAATAAAAAAAAACCTGTCATAAAAGGTATTCTAAATGTTAACCCAAGTAATAAGTTATCACTACACAAAATTTAGTTAAAATCGGTTCTATCATTTTTGCGTGAAATGCGCACACACAAACAGGCAAAAAATTATAATTATTGTTTTGGGGTCTATACTCTGTACACAAGACGCTAATGCTAAGTTGCTATTTATTATATGTATAGATAAGCTTGATAATATATTCTTTACTAAAACAAATTTTATTCAAACAAAAGCTATTTACCTGAATAAAAACAAAGCTCCAGACATAGCATAAAATGAAACAACTAACAAACATAATACAGTTAATATTTTTCCATACAAATAAAAAGTTTCCACTGCTGACGCTGCATTATACGTGCTTTGACTAACTCAGCTCGACAGCTCTCCGGCGAGAGGAAGAAAGGTATAATAACAAGGGAATGAAAATTTCAATAAGGATTATACCAAGGGTTGGAAGTGGTCCAGTTAATTAGCTACGATAAAAATTCTCCGAATAATGGCACTCTGTTACATAGAGTGCCTTATGGAGAGTTAGAAAAAATTTCGACTGTCTGTGTTGCACTTGATTGTACTTGAAAGTTGATTGATTATCGCATTTTGTTTAAAGGGTTGTTCAATGAAAATGCAGGTGATGAATGAAGTATGACGACAAATTTGGCTCAGTTTGTAGTGTCCTTGTTTTCCTTGCTGTGCCAGCGGTCGCGGGTTCGAGTCCCGCTGGGGGCATTCATTTATGTAATGAGCACGAATATTTGTACTCCAGTCATGAATATTTCTATTTATAATATATAAAGTCATATCATACCTATGTGTAGTGTATCAACGACGAGTATCTGGTATCCATAACACAAACCTCGTAGCTTACCATGGACCTAGATGGTGCTGTGTGTTAATGTTCCAACATTTTTTATTTTGTATTTTTATGCTATTAAAATTAAAAAAAACTACTCATAAAACGTAGGTACCTTAATTTAAAAAATACTAGTAGATTCAATTTATTTAAAAATTTTGAACTAACAACCAAATACAAGCGTAAAAGTAGCAATGCTCGTTTGTATCAAGTGTTAAAAAATTTACGTTACGTCTTCGAAGTAGGGTTCCATAATACATAGTATGTTAATGTATGCAGTTTTAAAATATACATGAGGAATATATATGTACATTATTCTTTACATTGCTCGAATAACAATGAAAGATAGACCGTGTCGCATCTTTTTAACATATAAAATTGTTTGCTCTAATTTATCTACGTTCAAACAAAAACTGATAAACCTAAAAAGTTCAAAGTTTTATCAGCTTATTTCTATAATGACATCCATATAGTAAAGATGAATTTACATTTAATTTCTTAAATTCAACCCCTATATAAAGGAAGGGAAATTTAGATGGAAAAAGCAACCTTGTAAAACCGGCTCAAACCGCTAGTTTTCTATACAATCCTAAGAGACGTTAGTACAACTACACTGCATTCAGTTAATTAGTACCTATTATACAGGATGAGAAATTTCCATCCATACTTTATATGTATCTGCATAACATTTCGTGTACCAAATTAGATGTAATTAGAGCAAAAATTCGTAATACTCTGTAGTTTATTATCTATACAGATAGATAAATAAAATTGAAGTGTCTGTTTGTAATGTCAAAATAACAGCTTTTTACTAAATAAATGCATATGAAATTATATACGGACCTTAGAAGAAAAACACATTTTTAAAAATGTTTGTTTATCTGTCTGTTTGTTTATTCCGGCTAATCTCCGAAATGGATGGACTGATTTTGATGGAACTTTCTCTGGCACATAGCTGATGTTATAAGGAGTAACGTAGGATACTTTAATTCTAGAAGATTATTTACAGTTCCGCTCAAAAAAAACGTACCTAGGGATGTACCCGAGCGAAATCAGGGTAAGTCGCTAGTTATTAATATATGTATATTGTTTTTATTTAATATAATGAACTTCTATGAATATTATATTAGAATATAGATACGATCCTTATAATATTTTAAAATAACTGGTCCAAATTTTCAATCTCAAATAGATAATCTAATACTGAAACTTGCTTGTCTTTTCAACGTTAATAATTTTTTATATTAGTTCATAAAAAGCTCTAAAAAGCTTTAGAAAAATAAAATCAAACTTAAAAAGTATTTGTTTTGATGATATACGATCAGCTGTTTAACTTTCTTACCGCAAAAATCCTTTGCAATTTGAAGAACAATTCTCTCCACTATATTTACATACCTATCATCCACTTATTTCACTCGGACGTTAAGAAAATCCTATTTTTTATATATATATTTTGTACTGGCAGGTGTTACCGACGCGTGGTGTCGCGGCCACGGCGCGAGGCTGACTGAAATCTGTGCTCTCAAACAGGTCAGGTCAAAGATAAAGGCTCGTTCACTAAATTGTATGTTTTATTAATTAAGGCTAATTTGTAGAAATAATTCGTGACAATTAATGTGCAGATAGCACTTAAAATGTAACTTTATCATTTAATCAGTAAAAAATATGAATGGTAAGTACTGAATAGTAGTTAATTGTTAAGGAATGTAAATCACAGAATATTTCTAAATTTTTAAGTAAAGAAATACCTTAGTAACCAAATTTGTAATACTCGTATGATGTCTTGTATCCAATGTGATTAGAAAAATAAAAAATGACTTTTAGACACTAAAAAGTTGAACTTAAAAAAAAACCTATTCGTAGACACAAAAAAGTAAAAAATAAATGAACGAAGATTGCATTGACTATTGATCATATTCCTTTTAGGAAGTCGGTTAAAAAATATAACTGCTAAATTATTTGCATGTTATTTATGCGAGTAGTAGGTTTTTTGATTAATGTGAGCTTGAAGTATATGAGGCACTACCACAATGTAACAATCCCCAAAAAGAAACAATGTGATTTCATATTTTTATTTATTTTACAACACAAATGTTCGACAATAACTACTAAACAAAAAATAAATAAAATCATCTTTGCTTATTTATATATATATAATAATAAATCTAAAATATCTCTCTATCCGAAGTTCGACCCCTAGTTATTGCAATAAATTTAATATTCAAACAAAACCTAAACAAATAAAGTATGCTTCATCAACAATCTGAATACGGCCTTACACAGCATCCCACTACTACTAACAAAAAATACTGTAAACACGAGACACACACAAACATAAGCCACAACCTTCCTAAGAGTTTCATACTAACCATACTTGTGTGAGTGAAAATACCTGTACATATAAAGAAGGAATGTCCTTGTATGAGTTTCCCTGAAAATGGCCGACCCCACCATAACGCATGCGTACAAAAAACCAAAATAAATTTATCCTTTGTAAAATTATGATAAGCTATAATCACTCTTATTTATATTCAGATAAGCGTTTGTATTTTAAAAGGATAGCTATAGATATTTTTGTCAAGAAATACGGCGGGCTTTTGAAGTTAGAAGTTGTAAGGACACTTGCGGCGTGGCGTGGAGGGAATCAAAATAACATATGCTTACATTTAAATGTACCTGAATATTGCTGAGATGTACAGACTAATATTCAAATGTTAATTACATTTTTTCATAATAAGAACCGTGTTCGATTCTTTTTTTGGGTTCCATACCTGAAAGTTGCCAACGGAACCCTATTACTAAGCCTCCGCTCTCCGTCAGTCTGTCAGAGGGCTGTATCTCATGAACCGTAATAGGTAGAGAGTTGAAATTTTCATAGATTATGTATTTCTATTGCCGCTGTAACAACAAATAATAAAAATAGATGAAAATGAAAAATAAAAGAAATATTTTTTAACGTTCGTAATCGATCATCGAAGTTAGTATACTACATATGTACATAGTGTAAAAGTCATATTAATAAAAAGTACATGTATGATGGTACGGAACCCTTCATGTGCGAATTAGACTCGAACTTGACCGATTTTTTATTTTTTAACACTTTAAACAGCAAACTTATTACTTAACTAACTTGTTTAAACAATATGGTATTCCATACTGATTTATAGCATAAGAATATAAAAACTAACTCTCAAATAATCTCTGACATATCGCTTCGATTTGTCATTTTAATATTCTTTAATAATTTATTTATTTTTCCTTTTTAGCCTACTAAATCCACCAGTTTTGGTCTGGTTTAGATGCCTTCGAAAAAATTGTTTAGTATAGATTTCTCAGAGTTGAGATATTTTCATACAGTAAGAAGTATCCTTTATGTTGAACCGGATGACCAGCTATCATCATACCAAACATAAAAATCTATCCAATGCTTATCTCGTGATGCATTCCCAGACAAACAGACATACAGACAGACATAGAAATTCTAAAAAGTAAAGATTCGGCCTCTGTATCGATAATAATGACTATTTCAATAAGATTTTACAAAAAATATCTAATATACAGATTCGACTCGAATTTTATTATATGTATAGATAAGATTTCCAAGACACTTAATTTCCATTGACTTTAAAAGAAAAAAGAAAGTATAATAAAGTAACATTTATTAAACATATTAAGAGAAATTGATTTAAAATATTATTTCAGCTACGAAAATAATTTAAATTATGTAATAACATACATAATATGTAGGTATACCTCTCTCTCTCTATGTGTAAGTTCTTATAATGATCCTAGATACGCTCCAAATAACGTCAATTCGTAGTAGCGGTAAAATATAGGTGAGCGTTTAACGCCACCCTGTGGACCACTTTTAACTGAAGTTCGAAGTTTAAAATATACTTTGACATAGTTTTGAACCGGAAACCATTTAGTTTTAGTGATTTCAAAATTTATATATTAAAAGCAAATTTTCCTTTTATGTATGAACAATTTTAATTAATTGGTACCATGTGACTAAGCAATAGGCATCACTATAGAGGCACTTCATGCATATGTAATACTAGCGACTCACCCTCACTTTGCTCTTGTTCGCTTGGTTTGAGGTACGTTTTAACGGCTAGTATGGAAGGGATAGTCGATCCCTTGCTCTGCCTAAAACAGATCTATCCCTATCTATCTATCCCACGAGAATCGTACATTTTTCCGGGATAAAACCTATGTGCTATTCCAGACTATAATCTATCTCTGTAACAAATTTCATACAGATCCGTTCAGCCGTTTTGGCGTTATTGAGTTACAAACATCCATACATCCAAAATTTCTATTATATAATAATATTATAATGGGATGTATATGAATACTCTCAACATCTTATTAGGAGTGGTCGTATTTAATATAATGTATTACATTATATAAATAAAATAAATACAAAATTCTAATCTGTACATATTAAATCCATACAAAGCATATCGCGATGATTTGTTGCTACGCGCTACGATTACCGTAGCAGCGTAGCAATTGCTTTGTCTTCATAGCTTTTACTTTTACCCGACTCCTTCGTAAGAAAGATTATATTTTTCGAGTGTATTATTTAATATTAAGTATAATATGTATCTATACACTCATACATACACAATTTGTATGAATATATGAAAATACTTTATTATTTATTCCTATCATATTCTGTAGCTTTATGAGCATTATGAGTTTGATGGGTTTTATCCATAATATAAGCTATATTCACCCTCTTTTTTATAGCAATGGGTAATGATGTTAACAAAAAATCACGAGCTTCCTGAATGACGTAAGGTTCTAGGTGATATTGAATAATAGCAGGTATTATATCTTGTCAGAAGTCTTTGACTGCCTCTATGAGGTCGGATAAGCTCTCATATCAAAAGTTAGAGTTTCTCATGACAATATAAGAAAAATAACTCTATTCTATCTATAGTAATTATAACCTGCTTTCATTATTATGGTGTATACAAAAATTATATACATTTTGATATATAAGATTAATTTGGGCTGACATTCAAAAATATCCACTGAAATCATATTTTTTATTATGTTTACAACATAATTGCCGTCAAGTAAGTAAGCTGTCAATCAAGTAAGTACTGCACTTCAGTAGAATTTTCTTTTGTTCATTGTATCGTTTAGATATAATGCGTTACAAAACTTTCATACCTGAGCATTTATTTCGAAGTACTCAACTTCTATCGAGTAACCTATTGTTGTGGTCAAACTAGATGAAACTAGAACGGCTCACTATGCTCTGAATAGCCAACTTTTTGTTATGCATTGTGCATTAATACAAGTACTTCTTTACTTCACTCAGCCATTAAAAACGTTCCAGCACCTTAAGAAATATTCATTTCGCCACAAATTTACAAATATCTGAATCTATCTACTAAATAAATATTTTTTATTAAAAGGCTAATAATTATTCTTAGTACAAAATTTTTACATGCTTCAAAATAGAGATAAAACGGATATTCGGTAACTGTCCAGTAAATGGACGCTATATTGCTACCGGATGGATAACGGATAGTAATACAATATCAGACCGAATATTTAAAAACTGTGAGAAAAAAATATCTGTGAGGCAAATAATACAAGAAATTCATGTAAAGGCAGTGAGGTGCTGAAAGGCTCTGGCATATTTTGAAAAATGTGAATACTGCTTCGAGTAAACCTACTACCAACTACAGATATTGTTCGCAAAGTAATCAAACAAGTAAACAGTTGATTTTCACTAATCACTAAGTCACGATGACACACGAATACACCCAAATTTTTCCGATAATATTTGCACTAGTCGCAACATACCTATAACATGACAGCGGGCTGTATGTATATCCGGCCGCCGGATATCCGGTATCCAGTATTTAAATTTCCGTTTCAATACTACTTGCATTTTTTCATTATTTTCAGCATCGTCTCGTCTTCCAATAATATATTTTGATGAGGACATTTTATTCTAGGTAAAATCGTAATTCAACCCCAGAAACTCACCGTAACTAAGCAACTTATTTATGTGATTTATAAGTGTTGCAATTGCAACTAAGCAGTGGTAATAAAACATGGAGGGTGGACGTGAATGTTTCTGAGTATATATATTTTCTTGATATAGGACCAGTTATTTTTTACTGCAACGCTTGATAATGATAAATATATGAAATTTTAGACCGTATCTGGCTCATAAATTCTCTCCATATATCTACATAATGTCACCTATTTGAAAAATAATATTTTAATCTATACATATAATAAAATTCTGAGTCAAATCTATACATTAAATATTTCTTGGAAATTTTTATTGAAATACTCATTATTATCTGTATGTCTGTCCGGAAACGCATAACGAGAAACCAATGGACAGATTTTGATGGTATTATGATAGCT